ATATATATATATATATATATAAAAGGTTGATAACTGATCAATCCTATAGTCTGACCAAGGGGGGCGCCCCCCCTTCCAGAAAGATGTGCAATTCGATTCTACGCAGGATCTGAACCCCTAGCCTAATAAACTTATACCAAATGTCGCAACCAATGAGTCAGGCTAACGCAAACACACACACACACATATTTATTCCAATTATTACAAAAAGATTCAATGAATCGATGCTTGCATTTTTTTTTAATAAATTATTGGGGACTAATTTGTAATTTTCATAACTTTTCATTTGATCCTTCAAGAATTGATTTGAATTTTAGCTCAAATAAATTTCGGCTCGTTTACACCCTACGTCTGAGTTTCACCAAAATAGAAAACTATAGATATTGCATTAACATTTTCTTGCAAGTCATTACAGGATGAAAGAAACTATAGAAAACCAAAAAAAAAAAAAAAATACAAATCTATATAAATGAACTACACTTAGTGATTTTTCTTCTATCTTTTTTTTATTTGGGTTGTTTGATGATCAGAGTGATGGAGTATCAGAGCGCTGATCAAATCTGTCACGCATGAGAATCTGGCGCGCGCGGGCGCTGCGATACTGCAAGCGCTGGTGCAGAGCTTCGGACATCTGATCGAAGAATTCTGCATCCCATCTCTGAATCAGAGAAGGATCTTCTGCAAAGCATATGTATATTGATGTCACTGCACTCTCCACCACCACCACTGCTAATCCCACCTGAAACATAAAACTTAAAAATAATTAGGAATATTTACATGCATGCAACTCTTATGTATTTACATATCTAACAACTAAACTTTTTGTATTTATTTCACTTCAGAAAAGTAAGCAAATGTGGTATTTTTTATGTGATATTAAGACGTGTGTTTAGGGTCCCCAAAAGTATATAATTAAAGCATCAGAGCTACTCATGATGCATTAAGATGGATATTGAGATATGATCTTTATTAGGGGTGTGAGTTGAGTAGGGTTCACGCCACCCAAGATTCGAGTTTGAGATTGATTAATTTAATCGGATTTGAGCTCTAGCTTAAGCCTAATTCTACAAGTTCAACTCTGTTCATGAGTCAATTCGCTCATTATGAAGTTGAAAAGGATTTTAATTCAAATAGTGGTTACCATAAAATGACTTGGATAAAATAAATTGTTGAAAAAGAATTAATAAGAAAATATATCATATACAAAAGTACAATAAAAGATTTTAATCATTTATACTCAGACTATTTAAATTTTAATATATTTTAAATGCATTTTATATTATTATTTTTAAAAATGAACCAACTAACAAGTCGAGTTGGGGCTGGCTCAAGTTTGACATGTTTAGCTCAACGAGATCAGCTAATTAAACTATTAATCAGGTCAAGCCCAAGCCAGCCCACAAAATAAGTTTGGATCGATAACACCCCTAACCTTATGCATTTATATTATAAAGTTTTATCCAAAATATGTATGTATATGTCTGACTAAAGTAAAAGCATGGTATAGCAAATGCACAAATTCAATAAAAAAATAAAATTCATGTAATATAATTCATGTAATGAAAAAATTTGTTCAGCTGCAAAGAGAAATAAAGCAAAATCATTAAAAACATACAAGGAATCTAAATAAGGACAAAATTTTCAGTTAAGATTAAAAATTCCTCATCTTCAACTCTTTTAGAGTTTCCATCACTATTTGGAATAAAATGTCACATCAAAGAACAAAGGTGGGGTTCATTTACATGTCTAACACCTAAACTTTAATATTTACAATTCATAACACTCAAATTCTTGACATCACATCAAAAAATCATTGTTAATAACATTTTAAATCTCCACTAGCTCAAGCACAACTTTTATAACATGAAACAAATCTAGTGAGGATAAGTCAGAAAAATCACTATTAAGGGTGTCAAATCCAACCTCTATTCTACATTTAGGTCTAATCATGGAATAATTAGAGGTATATTCACTTCCCTTATAGTTAGAGAACCCAATCACTAACAACCATAACTTTACGTTCTTCTTAGTAGTTATTTTTGGCTGAATATTAAAGAAGGATTTGTGTGGAGTTGACATAGGTGGCTTAGCTTTGGCTTGACAAGTAAAAGCTTAATGATCCTATGTTGATGCTTGATGACATAAATTTTCTCCTTAACAAAATATACGATACTTGAAGAAAAATGTGTCAGCATGGCCCCTTGACACTTTGCAAGGGATCAATTTAGACCAAAAGTTTAAAAAATTATCAATTTAATCTCCAAACTTTTTTAATATGGATCGAAATAGTCCCCAATAAGGACTATTTTATCCCTCATTTCATTAAAACAGTCTAGGAACTAATTTGACACTTTTATAAACTTTGAGACTAAAATGACCCCATCTAAATAGTCAGAAGACTAACTTGGCACTTTCTTCAACACTTAAATCATATCATCTATACTCTCTCTCTCTCTCTCTCTAAAGCTTTTGAGAGTCTACTCAACGTTTTTCTTCTTCACTCTAATTTTCCAGTTCTCTAAGAAAGACCCGGATGTCTAATTCTCCAATAAACTATGGTCCATTATCAAATAAATGTTTATAGCCAGAAAGATTCCAAAAATAAAGAGCTTTAAGGTTTTCCCGATTTGTCGAAGTGAACACAAAGCACATTCTATTTTGAAAACTAGCTTCAACAACTATTTGATTCTTTGCTATCACATAAATTTCAGAAAACCAAACAAAAATAAAGTGAAGGAACTCACCAAGACCATTCCCATCAAGATTGCCGTAGAGCCAACCATCAGCACCTCCTCACTCTTTCTAAACCATGTCCAAACTCCAGAACAAGTTCCAGTAACTAAACCACCCAAAATAATGCCCATCAGAAGTACAGCACCAGAGCAATCATAGGCAACAAGTGCTTCAATCCCGGTAGACTGGAATAACTCCCAGGCATCTCTAGCTGAGTGATTGAAGCCCTTTCCATTAACTGCAATCTAAACAAAAAATAAATTAATTAATAAAAATCAAGGTTTAGCTATAGAATCTATAATATGAAAATTATTTCACTAATGAGAGCTCAGGATTAATGAATAGGAGCTTTTACTTGCATACCACAAAATTCTTATGTATTTAGATACCTAACGCCTGAACATTCATATTTACATGCATATCACTCAAATCTTTAACATCACATAAGAAATACCACCATCACAACCGTTTTAAAAGTGCAATACAAATTTTCATGCGCAGGATTAAGACATCAACGTGTTATAAGAGTAAATATCAAATTTTAGGTGCTAGATGTGTAAATACAAAAGAATTGTGTGTTAAGTATCTGAAATTTCCCTAATGAATTCAAAGGCATGTTACAGAAGAAATATCATACATTCAGAAAAATAATTAAGCTTTCCCCCTTACTTGCAAATGTTTTGACAGCGCATGGCATCACTTAGATCGACATGGTCGGACTTAAATATTGTTGATTTGGAAGTGAGAGTAAGTGCATTTCAATTCAGAATGGCACCATTTTTTTTGTTCCCGAATGAGGAACATCACAAAATCACAAAAATATATTATTACTCTCCTTGACTACACAAACACAAATCCTCTTCTTTGTTTGATTCGAACCCAACGAGAGAAGCCAGCGGGAGCAAGAGAAAGAGAGAGATTGACAAACAGAGGGAGAAGAAAAAGGGAAGAAGAAGAAGAGGAGGAGAAATGTTGCAGAAACTTTGTGCTAGGAAGGTCGAGACTCGTGCAACATATTCCATACCCGAGAGGCTCAAAATGAGCTTCTGAGCTTCCATCGTCGAGAGAAATGAAATCCATGAGTGTCGTGAGCTCCAATCAGGTCTTCCTGTGCCCTAACCGAGTGGCTCCGAGTTCCCCAGAACAGAGAGCGGCGCTTTCGACTAAGAGAAACAAGCAAGAGAGGGATTTTCTGTGCCCTAACTTAACGACGGAGAAGAGGGGAGGAGGCAAGCGGCCCCAGCGAGCCCACATGCAATTTCGACCATTCGAGTGGTAGAAGAAGAGAGTCTAAACGGTTTTCTCTATCCTGTCGTCCATTCCACAATCGAGAGAGCTCCAGCGGCATGCAGAAAAAAATTTTCCGTTTGATTGAGCGTATACAGAATTTGGGAGCAAGATGCAGCCCGAAGGAGAATTCCTCGCTGGCATGAAGGGCTCAACCGAACTTTATTTGCTTGGTGCGTGATAAAGTTAGGGCAAGGTTAGGGCAAGGTTAGGGCAAAATAACGAAAGGAAAATAGGGATTTTTGTCTTAGGCATGAAACTCAACTCACAATTCATTATGTTAAAAATATTTCGATTTCTATTTAATTTTATTTAAATTTTAAAAAGCCATAAAAATTGGTTCTTAAAATTTTAGGATTTTTAAAGTCCAAATTCTATATTCAATTTTAATTTTCTTTATTAATTTGTATAAAATAATAAAATAAGATTAAAAGCCTTATTAATGTTCTTAGATTGTATTTAATTGAATTATAAATGGTTAGTGTATTAATGAAATAGATTAAGATTAAGATTAATAATAAATTAGAAAAGCATTTACATTAATTAACAATACATAATGATTAAATTATATAAAAAGGCAAATGAAAATGTCTAACTAGTTAGGTTAGAACATTGTGAAATATGGGACAAAAATTGATAGAATTAATTAAATTTGTTCTATTTTTAGAAGTTAATTAAGCCTAATGTACTATTATAGGTTCACAAAAAGACTAGATTAACATAAAAAAAATGATAATTTGACTGTATTGTACAGGTGGGTAAACATATTTTTATTTTACAATAATTATGTTTATTTCTATTTTATAATAATAATGTTTATTTCTGAAAATAATTTCACATATTTTTACTGTTTCTAGTATTTCTTATAAAATGCAAAAGATGATATCTTTCAAATATTAAATATAAGAAAAGAAGTAAAATATGATATATGCATGCATATGAGTGTTACTCTTGAATGGTACTTACAGAAAAATACAATGTACTTGTGCACATTAAATGAAAATAGAAATGGTTGTCTACCTTTATAGTGAGTTTGCAAAACATTAAACGTACATTTTAAAGTATATGTTTAAACGATGACTCCTAATAACAAAAAGTGTAATAGAGATAAATAAAAATAAACAGAAAAATATGTTCTTCACCGTTGGATATAAAAGTTTGTAGGTATTGTACACCGAGTACAAGTTAATACTTATTATAGTTCAAATTTATTTTTTTGTTAGATATAAAAGCTTAAATATGACTAAACTAACATAACTTTAAATTTTATGAAATAGAATGGTGGTTTTGTGTTTTGGATTTGAATTAATTATGAAATGAAATTATTAGATAGCTTTGTTCCGTCCAATCAATAGCTCCCACCTTGGTAATCCAAGCTCGCGGACTAGGTCGCTACATAAACCATATTTTATTACATTTATGCCACTCCAATAAATACCACCAGTTTGAATATATATATATATATATATATATACTCATCTTCTCCAAGAGAAAATGTCTATTCTACATTAAACATTTGTATAAACTGCCTAACACCAGTCTTCAACCTCCACTATTAATTGTGATATGCTAATTGAAAATAATTTGTGGATAAAATCTCATGAATTTTCATCACTATCTAACACACATCAAACAAATGAGCACAAAAAGGATGATTGAATGTTATACCAAATCCCTCTTGCATGTCTAACTATATCCATATAATCCACTAATAAAAAAGCATCACACACACTCTAAATATCATCACCAGAGTATGTATTCTCTAGCTTTAACCCACCATCCCTCTTATTTTCATGCTAAAGATGCTAAGTTTTGAGATTTATATTCCCATTCAGAATTTTTATATTTTTTTATGAACAGATAAATAAGTTTGATACTTCATCTCTTTCTACTTTCCAAACTCTTTAGTTTAAGAAATTTCAATATTTAAATTTTAAGATTATACATATCGCGAAATTTACATACACAGTGCACAAATCTTATGTATGTACATATCTCACACTTAAAACCTACATATTTACATACCTATCACTATGGTGCCTTAAATTTATGCATGCAAATGTGCATTTCACTTTTTAAAAATGACAACAGAGCTATTTTCTGTAGAAATTTTCTTTTATTTGCGACTTTCAACTGTTCTGGATCATATTTGAGAAGCCAGAGGAGTAAAATGCAACTTAAAATTCTATCACTTAGTTTCAATCCACAAAGTAATCATGTGAATAAAAAAGATTAAGTATATGCAAAGTACTTGTTTTAAGGGATTAATAAATTAACGATGATCAACATAAATCAATCTTAAGTCGTCATACCTGAACATATGCATACTTGTTGAAGAAACGAACTAATGTCTCTACAAGGTGAAATAGGAAGTCAACGCAACAAAGCAAACATTCATTGCTTCCGATCTTCGAACGAATTCCTCTTATCTACATACGTCCAAAAAAACAAAGAGACGAGTAAAAATCGGCAATATAAACACATAATAAGATTTACATGCATACAACTCAATTCTTATGTATTTCAATTTTTACATATGTGGTTTAAATGTAAAAAATGAAAGTTTGGTGTTAGATATGTAAAAACATAGAATTGGGTGGTATATATGTAGATGCCCTTCACCGAAAATAACAGAAATACCTCCCATCGCAATGTCCTAATGGCAGCCGTGAAAAGCGAACCATAGCAAATGCTTCCAAACGAAGTGGTCATGGCAAAGCGTAGCGATTTGAGCAGCGGTTTTTTAGGCATCGACGCCGAGCTTCGATCGCCATGAATGAGAACGAGGAACACCATCCCAGATACTATAACATGAACTGTATTGCAAAGAACAGCTCCAGTCCAGAATAAATTCACAGAAAAAATCTGCAATTTAAGAAGAAAAATCTGCAATTTCAGAGGAAAAAAGAAAAATACTTGCAGAAGAACAAAGAAGAATCAGCATAAAAGTTAAAATTTTGACCACAGAGAAAAAACTTGCCAGCTCACCACAAGAAGCCACCAGGTTACGCTATCGTTCATGCTTGACGCAATAACACCTGATACTCCGAATGACCATAAGGTCATCCAACCAAGCATGACGAACAAAAATGCGTAGGCTACTCTCATAACTTCCGGAAGATCTCGAACCATTTTTACAGACTTTTGCAATACTAACATTGAAAAGGTGAACCTATCAAATAACCAAGATGGTAAACAGACTACTTGATACTGAAAGTACATTATCATGAGCGATATAGTAAAGAAATTTAGGGAAATTTACATGTGGCACAAAATTCTTATGTATTTACCTGTCTCACACCTAAACTTTCATGTTTACATACATAGCGCACTTTGGTGCTTTATGACTATGCATGAAAATATGTATTTCACTTTTAAATAGTAATAAAAATGTTATTTTTTATGTGATAGTACAGATTTGAGTGATATTTGTATAAATAGGAAAGTTTAGGTGCGAGATATGCAAATATATTAGAATTGTGTGCTACTTATGTAAATGCCCGAGGAATCAAACACTTCAGATGAGCATTGAAGGAACATTTGAACAAAAGGTAACTATTAGCATCCAGATGAAACTGAAACACTTTCCAAATGGCTTAATAATATGAGAAGAATCAATCACCAAAAGTTTGTTAGTTCTTTGCTTGGTTTTTCAAACCTTTCATAGGAACTCTTTATAGTTGGTTTGGTATAATTGACAAAAATGGGAAGGATAAATTTGGTTTTAAATTTCAAAGTTAGAATATAAATGTAAAGTTGAAAGGGGATACAACTAACTTTTTAAAAGTTCATGACGGCGGACACAAGGGGAACGTGTGAGGTGAGGTAGAAGGCGGAATTGCGGGTGGTCACATGCGGAAGCAGGATCTCTAGGATAGTGAGATTTTCTTGATTTCCATTCGCGATCTGAGGCTCCCGTGAGCGCGGTTGAAACTGTGGGCGCCAATTTTCGATTTCAGTTTTTTTTTTTTTTTCTTTTTTTTTTTTATTTATTTCCTATTTCACTATTTCTAATGAGATTTTTCTGGGAGAGAACTATTTATATGTTGTTGTTTTCCGATTTGAGGGACTTTTAATTTGGTTTATATTATTTGGAGATGTTTTCTCGCAGTTTTCCCTATTGGAGTGTTTTTCTTTGGATTTCTTTCAAGGGGTGTGTTTGTAGCCTGATAGGATTAAAGTGGTGATCTCTCCTTCCTACGTCGTCCAACTCGCACCCAACTACTGTTCACAAAAGGAAAACTATTTCATCAATTCCAGTTCGTTATCCCACCTTTATCCACGCCGCAATTTCAGCTGACACGTCTCGACATCCGTGTCACACCATTTCGTTGCTTTCATTGCTGTTTTTAGGCGGGACAGCTGCCAAACATAGTCTATCTTCCTCCAAATATCGTCGATCGCCCGTAATTTCATTCACTCACTATTCCTCTTCCTCCTCCCGTCAAACCCACTTCCCAAAAACCTTCTAGGAGCCCTAGATCAATGTCAGTTCAGGATCAGCTAAAATATAAATTTCATCTTCCAAAACAAGTAAGACCGGTATTTTGCCCTTAACCCTATGTTATGCCAAATAATCTAGATAATGGCAAACAATAAGTAAATTTCTAGAATACTTTAATCAAAAAGATGCAACTAAATATCAAATCTCAAAAACAGCCATAGATGTGATTCAGCTTTGAACTTCAATTGGTATTTCTACTGCTATGTTAGAACTTTTATTTTCCTAAAAGTTAAAATTATAACAATTAGATGTGCATAATTGAGCGTTCATGAAAAATTAAAGAAAATAGTAGGGCCTTTTTCTACATTTAGAAAACAATAGAGGTTTAAACCGTTAAAAAATTTCAATGCTTATTCCTTCACTTTCATTAATTTCTAAATGATTTCAGTGTGGCACACACAAATACATTACCTCTTCTTATTTTTTTTTTTTTTCTTATTTGCTGGATATTTAAATAAGAAAGATAAAATTGGTATACATGCAATTTATCCGGTAAAAACGGATCACAAAATTTATATATTACACTCTACTGTCTAAATTGATACCAAATGTGAATCAATCATGACAGAACATGATGAAAATTCTACTTTAGTTTCACTCAAAGCAATGAAAACAAAACAGAAAAGCTTGAAGAATCATTGCAGAAAGTCATCATGCCTACAACATAACCAAACTAAGATTACTATAAAAACATCTCATTTCAAAACCTTCATAACTAAATATTCTCTTATAATTAGAGCATGAAGGTAAAGAACTTTTTCAATGGTAACAACACCATTTCCAAAAACATGAAATCAAAATAAAATAACATAGAATGGGAGAAGTACCTATCTAAAACAAAGTATGTAAGAAAAAAGAAAGAGAGAGAGAGAGAGAAATTTACTTACATACCACACAATTCTTGTGTATTTACATATCTAAACACCCAAAATTTGATATTTACACTTGTAACATCTTGAGGTCATAAAACTATGCATGAAAAGGAGTATTTTACTTTTAAAAAGATAATGATTGTGTTAATTTTAATGTGATATCAACGATTTGAGTGGTATGCATGTAAATATAAATGATTAAGTGTTAGATATGTAAATATTAATGAATTTTGTGGTATATATGTAAATGCCCCTAAAAAAGGAAGATATACATTCATACCTTTAAATTCTTTTGTATTTACATATCTAACATAAAAAAAAATCAATTTTTACATATGTATCGCCTCAATTATGCATGAAAAAGTGTATCTCACCTTTTAAAACTAAAAATAGTAATTTTTTTTCTGTGACATGAATGATTGGAGCGGTATAACTGTAAAAAAACAAAATTTGAGTGTAAGATATGTAAATACATAGGAATTGGGTGGCATGTATGTAAATGCCCCAACTTTTTTTATTCAAAAACTGGTAAAAATGTGAAACAACTGTAAAACCCCATACCTAAAATCTCTGCAGCAACCACACTCAATGCACCGAGAAAAGGCCAAAATGCAAATAATTAACATAAAAAAACATATCATTTCAAAACTGGTGCAAAAACATATCCTTTCAAGGAATAAGAGATTCTTAATCTTCAAGAACAAGAAATCAAAAAATAATAACAGTGATAATGGAAGGGAAAGGGAAAGGGAAAGGGAAAGGGAGGGTAAATACCTATCTAAAACCGACATCACATACAGAAACTGAAGCGCAGCCCCAACAGCGAAAGCGACGCCCCAGAAGAAATGTTCCCCCCAGAAACAAAGCACGCTGATCACGGCCAGGTAGGTGGTGAGTATATGCACCGAAACCTTCATCATCAGACCAGTCCTCGATCCCAACGCCAACCAAGCCCACGCCAGCACCGTCCCCACCGCTCCAGCCGCCCCGTACAGCGGCCAGAACTTCTCCGTCAGCTCCGGCGAAGATGGGTCCCCACCGCCGGCGGAAGGTGCGGGGGCGGTAATGTTAGTGAATCGGTTAATTTTGAACCGATCCACCTTCCCGAATCGATTCATGCCGAGCAGGAACAGTAGGGAGCCGAAGGCGAGGAGATGGACCACAAAGACGAAGAGCCAGAACAGATCCCTCCACTGCCTCGCCGGCTCCTCCGGCGGCTGAGAGGAACCGCACCCCACGGCTCCTCTTCCGTCCTGCAATTGCTGTATGAGGATCGAGATGCGAAACCCTAGAATACGGACTACAGTTCGAGATCAGCGAAGGAGGGGGTTACACTGTTACAGTACCTCTTCTTCTTCCTCAGCAGTGGCCGAGGAATTGCCGCCATCAGTGTCAAAGAAGACGTCCGGCGGTGGTCCGGCCATCGAGAATCCCGGCGGTTCTTGATTGATTGAGGGGCAGGGGCGGGGGCGGATTGAGATGCCAGAGAAGGTTAGAAATCGAAGATTCAAAGTGGATGAAAGGGATGGGATTGCGCGGAACCGCTTGCAGTTGACAAATTGAGAAACGGGAGAAGTGGGAGTGTGGAGATATCGGAATTTGGAAGTTATTCGGATTTTTAACTCCCAAGATGTGTTCTTTTTCCAGCGTTTTGGAATTTTGCGATGGGACTAGGTTTTGGTGTGGAATTGAATTAGTCAAAGCTCCTGTTCCGTTGGTGTCGACGCCATTTGAGATCTGTAACCACAAATAAAGCTTTTTGAAATTGAGCGTTAGGACAAAAATATTTTTTTGTTGACTTCAGGGGTTGGTCCATCTACTTACCCTGGGAAATTTACATAGAGACCCCAAACTTTTCGTGATTTACTGTTTGACACCTAAAATTTAGATATTTAGTTATAAAATCTCTGTGCAAACTTATTTGTTCCTATTAAATCCATGCTTGGCTCAAAATAATAATTTATTAAAATATAATAAATCATGTAATATGATTAAATTCTTTTTTAAAGTTTTAAAGCTCTCTTAAAATAATATAAACTTAAAGGAAATTTGCACGGTCGCGTATTGTGTGATTAGCAACAGATTGGTTTTGAGAATGCATGTGTTTCCTTCTTATTTTCAAAGAAAGTAGCTCTTTGTTTTATTTCAATATTCACGATGTGGGATAAATTCTAATGGTGATGCAGATTTTATAATTTTTTTTGCAACATAAAAGTTGGACCTTAGAGTTAAAAATAATACCTTTATTTTCTTATGGCATTTACATACATATCAACCATTTATTATGAATTTACATATCCAATATAAAAAAAAAATATTATTTTTAGTTATAATCCTAACTAAAATTATTTAAAATCTAATAAAATTTAGTATTTTTAAATACAATATAATATTTAATATATCAACATTTAGTAATAATATTTATTTGTTATTTAATTAGTTAAAGTTAAATTGAGTTGAATATGATGAACAAATATTTGTTCGTGTTATGTTTATTTATAAATCGAGTTCAAAAAAATTATTTGTGCTCAGCTCACTTGTTTAACGAACGAATCGAACATGAGCTATTTAGCAAGTTGAACATGAGTTGTTAACAAACAACGACCTTTTTTTGGCAAGCCTATCTATGCATATGATGTTCATTGCCAATAATTTTCATGTTATATCTTTATGATCAAGTGATAACTTGGTTAAATAATAGCTGATTGGGAAGAGGAATTTTAGTAGTTACTATGAATGATTAATAACATCATAGTTATGATTAATCATGATTGGAGTTTGTTTTGATTAAATTAACTTTTGTATGTGTGAAAGAACTCTTAGTATCTTATTTTAATGATTTCTCATAAAATTAGTATTAAAGATAAGATTATTTTTCATTAGCACATTATATTGAAATACAAGATACTAAATTTTAGTTAGTTGTTAATTTTTATATGGCTATTCTTATAGCATTAGCAAGTTTAATAACTATTAAAAATTACTTGACTTTCATGTACTCAAACTTAGATTTGAATTAATCTAAATGTGAAATCCTCTTTAATTTCTTTGTTAAATACTTAAATACAAGTTCTTTGTATTGGTTCAATGTTGCTAACTTAATTTAATACATGGATTCAGGCATTATTTAGTAATATATGAAATAGTGAATGCTATAGAATTCATATTTACTAGTTTCATATAAATTTTATCAATTCTATTTATATAAGTCAGTAATAAATGAAGAACATAAAAAAAAGTTAACTATAAATCATCATTTGATATAGGTTGTAAATACAACAAATATAAATGATGAGTGCTTGTAATAATAGTTGAGAAAACATTCGAATCGTTCGAATCGTTCGAATCGTTCGAATTCGTAATGTTCGAAATGTTTGATAACTTTTGATTCCAAATTTTATTGTACTTTAAATTTTTAGATAGCATCTATGGTCATAATTTTTGTATAATCAAAGTAATAAAAATTATAACAATAATATTGATCAAAGGAATTAATATGAATAATCGAGTGTTTGGATTTTTTATCAAAATAAATAGCACATTTATAAATAGACTACATTCCTCCATAATTGAAGAGATGGTGATAAGGCCACAAGACTGATAGCATATAAGAGAAACCACATTAGTGTTTGCGTACCAAAACCCAATGCTTGTCTTCACCGCAAAGATTGATGCAAGTCGTCAACAACAACACTGATGCTCACCATAGCAACTTGGCCAACCTACATCATTATCTTCATTATTGATGTCAACAATCCCCAATAAGGTCAACTCTAATGTCAACATTCATCATTGCCAATAAGTTCTATGCCCAAAACCGCCAATAAGTCAAACAATTGTTATTGATGTATACCATCAATGCTAAGTTTAACTTTCATCATTACCAATGCGTCAAATGCACGGTATCAACACAATATTATGTTTATCATTGACATTAATGTTGATGCTTATTGTGACACTCGTCATCTCAAATTAGCATTTGTATTAGGTTCGATGCCTGGCCTCTTGGTCATCAACCTCCCCTCCTATAAGAAAATTGACCAAGTTTGCCACAAATACATATTTAATGACATCATCAAACCTTGAGTCTCCTACATCTACCATGAAAGTCATATTTCATTGGGCATATGTCTACATTTTATAATTTTCATACTTGAATTCGGAGAAGTGGATCATCAGTAATGTATGACTAACATTACTTGAATCATTTTTACTAAGTCATCCCCATACTTCTTTCTCTTCCATATGTTTCACATAAATATAAAATGTGCCTGCAATGAGTTGCTCTACTTGTATTATCTATATATTACAAAGTTATTGTATGATGTTAAGATGATAAAACTATCCTTTTATTAACATAAATGTTTTGAAGTTGATCTCCACATCATCAATGTTGATTTAGTGGCCCTTATTGCTCATTTTAGAAATTAAGATAATAAATGGGGGCATTTACATGCATGCCACCCACTTTCTATGTATTTACAAATCTAACAACTAAACTTTGTTTTTTTTTACATTTATACCACCGAAGTCTTTCATATCAGATAAAAAAATACCACCATTTTTACTTTTAAATGTGACATACTACTTTCCATGCATATGGAAGGTGGTATGTATGAAAAAATTAATGTTTAGGTGTTGGATATGTAAAAACATAGGAATTGAGTGGTATGCACATAAAATTTCCAAATATTATTTTTGTAAGGGCATTTATTCACTCAGATAATAACTGAAATTGTGTTTTTTGTTTGGAATATGCATCATTTCTGCGAATAATCATTAAGTTAAAGAATATATAAGCTAAATATTTAATATAAAAAATGGTACTTTCCGATAGTTTCTTAAGAGATTATATTCTATTTAATAATAATTTTGTAATCAATTTATAGCTTCATTTAAACTATTGTTGTCAAATTTATGCTCAAATTTGAGCCTAAATTTTATTTTTCTGAAAATAAAAATAATTATTGAATTTTGATGCTCTCGAGGCTAGTTTATCCTAAGAATAATCTCAACAAAATTTGACAGCCAATAGAGAAGATGACGTGACATTCCGGACCCACCATGGGCAGTTCGAGTGCCCGCTTTTATCCGCCCGTTCCCAGCTGGTCGATAGAAAATAACTCCGCAGTAACTATCTTCTCAAAGTCACTAACATTAACATCGCAAGGATGAATTCATCGAGATTCCCCAACCAGATCGAGTGGATGATAAGAGCCACTCGATCTCAAGCAATCGGCCGAAACCTCCTGGTCAACATTCAGCCATAACCGCTCAGGCTGTGACCCGATCGGCCATTCCCTTAGACTCCCGGCACATAGCCTCCTGGATCGAGAGCAGGTCGGATGCTATTTCAGGCTCCCAACCATCTAAGTATATATTAACTAAATTACTGTCTGTTGTATACTTTACTAGGGGTAAAGAATATAATCTTACAACCTCTATTCCTATAAATGAGAGCTCATTTCATGAATAAAATTTACACAGTTTTACCGCTCATTTATGTGCTCTCTTTGGTCTTTTCCTTCCTTTCGCACTTTATTCCTAACCGTGTCTCCCACACAAATTTAGATTCAACATCCTAAATGTTGTGTTGGACATTGGGTCATGCAGTCAATAAGAAGACAGGCAGGCACAACGGTCATAATGTGAAGAGAGTCATCAAAGAGACATAGCCAACACAAAGCATGATTGAGAAGGAATGGAGGAAATCGTGCAACAAGAAATGTAAGAGTTAAGAAACCAAATAATAAATCATGTGTCGGGCCAGATCATAGAAGTCCTGAGAGTCTTCGTCTTCACAAGAGGAGATCGGGCTCCTTGATGATAGAATGCTCCTTAGGAGACGGTGTTGGTGCACTATAGTAGAAGGTTGAACAACAGTCCAAAAAGAGCCAAAGATTCCTAGTACCAAGACAAAGCTGGATTTGTAAACAGCGATACAAACACACTGAGATGTCACTTCAGCCAGAGAAACACTTCTCACCCCATGTATTAGGGGTTGAGAACCGGAGAAGTTTAAGCTCCCTGCATTGGAAGTGTATCAGGGTCGATTGAATCTCAACAACTACATCTTCTCGTTTGATTCCACAACATCCCTACCAAAATTCTCAAACACATTTAAGTGTTGTATGTTCTTTAACACCCCAAGGTTGTTAGCATTGAGGTGGATCTTCGTAAGAGTGTCTCAGCTTTATATTTGTACCTCTCTTTTCTTTCTATTCTAGTGGCCTTCTCGCCACTTTTGCAGGTATAAATCCCACCTCTACTCGTTCTGCCTACGGAGCGTTATAGGATTTAGAGTTTCCTTCTTTGAACCTTACAACTACCTAGGTTACCTTGGACAATGTAATTTATGGATTGCTGACAAGGGGTTCTCCAATCCGATTAGGTTGACTACCTTCACGACCAGGTATACTTGGGGTTATAATTGCTTGGGATGATGGATATATGGTATCCTGACCCGACTATCTCTACTTGATTAGGATTCCTCTACCTTTCCTTGCTCACCCACTTTGAGCCATGTCACTCCTTCGATGTTTTGTTGATGTCATATCATAGGCCTCGATTCCCAACAAACCGCTTTGGGATACGATGATTCACCATCTAACCTTATGGCTCGATCAGGCTTGAAAGCATGGTACATACCCTTTTAGGTGATCTGGTTATTTCATAGGCCTCCACTGCTGATCGTCATTCGTATGTGACCGTGAGAGACTCACTCTATGCTCATATGGCTCAGGTAAGCTTTGAAAGCATTGGGATGCTCTTGTAATATAAATATCCTTTGACACACCCCTTTACTGGTTAACAATTGAATTTCAGTAGGATTCATTTAATTGAGAGCTGTCTTTGTCATCCCTCAAGATTTAATTAACCAAACGATATATGTCCCTTTAAGAGTGCTCTTAACCCCAGTATAAACACATAAATTCGGTTCTCCGGTTACGTGGGTAGTTTATGTAGGTATTCTTTCATGGATATTTAGTTCAAGGTGCCTCAATCTAATCTTGTTTGGACACACACTTTTAACTAATTGCACAAGATTTACATTATATTAGTTCAACATTTTTTTTTTAATTTGTTTGCCTAGTTTTCATCCTATCTCCCTCTTTTCTGATTCCTCCTATTCTCCAAATCATTCTTGACATTTCAAGTAAGATTGCTCTTTGGAAAAGAAAATCTTAAGACGACGATTAGACATGTTGGCGACTCTGTAATTAAAAAAAACCAAAAATAGAAGTGATGTATACAGTCATTCTCTTCACTAAGCATCTGATTCTTACCAATGGTTGACCTGTTGACCAGCCATGGCCAGGTAGAACATATTTCCTATCAAAAATTATAATTTACAAGAACAAAAAAGGAGAAATGACAAAAAGCTTGGGTGGCTGTGGACCCGTCATCACCTCCATCTCCTGCTTCTACCGAATGATCTATCTACCCACCTTCCTCATTTGAATCTTTGAAGATGGTGGCGATTTGGTCCATATTCGTCCATTTAGGCTCCACCAGCCCTCACTTTGCAAAGCGCTCTATAGTTATAGTCAGCTTCACTTATATCTACTTGGATAATGCATCAACATGGTCTTTCTGTTTGACCATCCCGATCATTCTCTCATCAATCTCTTTATTTCTCTTTTATCAAGGCTGTGATAGTTTGTTCATGCTCTTTCTCCCTCAACTCTAACTCTCGAGTTATTTCCTTTAGCTTCTTCTCCAAACAGGCGAGCTCCACCTTAATTTTTTGCTTAACTTCAACTCATTCAGACAACATTTGGTCGACCACCTTTCTCTTCCACTCCTCATGGACAAGGGCCTTCGACTGGAAATGATCAATCAAGCACACGAGCAAACTAATTAGTTGGCAATCTGCTAAGGTCTACGTACTTCTTCCTCTGCAGCACAAAGTCCAAACACTTCGACCGAACCACCTCCACTAGATGTCAGGGCTATTCTAAGTCCTAGACGTCTCCCTGAGAGCAGGCTGGTGTACATGTTTATCTGGTTGTCCACTTGAACTCCCCCACTTGTTTTTCTCAACCCTTATCGGGCAAACACTTCTTGGAGGGGAGCCACCTTCTTGTGATAAAGGAGGGGTTGCAGAGAACTCTCACAAGTCGTCTTTTGCCTTTCTGGCCTGGAGTCCCCTCATCTCCAAAACCCAACTCCACTTCCATTAGTGATTATTATCACGCCGCAACCATCTCACGAGGATCATTGAAGCGGACACCCTACTTTTCCCGTCCCATGAACTTGTAGGTTGGAGGTGCTTCTCCTCCGGAGCTCAAATCTTGGGAACTGGGTGATCCAGGCGAATCCTCCTAACATATCCCAAAGGTTCCCACACATGTTCATGAAAATGAACAGTTAAGGGAAGTTCAAGAGGAGAAAAAAATATGAACGAATAAGTGGAAAGCTCTTTATCGGTGTCAGGAGCGCCCTACGGCTTCCGTAGTCACAAAGATGGATCCCCCGTCACATGCCTTCGGCTTCTTCTAGAAGGCCCTTGCTGCTATGGCCTTTTTCCTCTGCCTCTCTACATGGCATCCGACTTCTCCCACAACTATTTAATCATATCACCAAAAGTCACCGACCACAAGATCTTGTTGATTACCGACGCTTCAAGAAATTGGAACACCAACAGCTTCTGGCCCTCGATCATTTCAAAGTAAGCCCTTACGAACTCGGGTAGGGCCTTCAGTTTTGATATGTCCCGTGAGATGGGTCGGATGGAGATAATCCATCCTCTCCTATTCTAGGCAATCACAAACTTCCATACCTGCCCTTTCCCATGCTCTCACCCTAATCCCCCGGAGCTTAGGGTCAGACGAGAAAACAACATGCTCATCCATATCCACCTTGAAACCAAAGAATAACGAAAAGAGCTTGATGGATCGGGGGATGTCTAGCCACCGAAGGAAGATAACAAATGTCATGGTGATGGCGATGAAGTTTGGTGTCACCTGAGCCGGCATGACATTGTAGTGGTTTAAAATAGACTGGAGCTCATGGAAGAACGGCAGCCTCAGTCCAAATTTGAACTGGTCCACGTATACAACTTGGTTCTCCCTAATCTACTCGTTGTTCTCTCGTTCTTTTCGGTCGGTCGAAGAACTACCCAGTCCTCGAAGACAAATTTTTTTTAAATAACTTCTAATTGATTTGCAATTACCATAGACGCCATGCTGGAGGGGTTCACACCAAAGAGCTTAGAGGAATATTTGGGCATCACAACCAACAAGTGAAAGGAATAAGGAAGGTTAGAACACTTAGGAGAGAAAATGAACATGTAGCGAAAAAAAACAACAAAGAAGGGTTCTTCCAAGCCCACCGTCCCTACTTATAGTACGTTGCGAAAGTTAAAACGATGAAAGGGCATAAGAGTCACATAGAACTGCAGAAATAAAGTCAAATCAGACACACATTATAAGAAAATAAAAATTTCATTCAAGCAAAATATTTATACATTTAAATCAACCTAGTTACAGCCTAACAGCTGAAGAGAAAATATTTAATAAAACCATCAGACGCAGCCTCAGGCGGGACATAACCTACCTGAAACAGCCACCTATACACCAACTCCTAACCTAAATCTGGCTGCCCTGTCTATTTATTTTTTAATACGGGAGATTGAAACTTCCTCTCAGATAGCAAGAACTTCGGCCCGAAGCGCCGCAACTTCCCCTGAAGGACAGACTCTCGAGCTCGCATAGTCGTCAATTCTTCCTCCATTATTTATAGTTGTGAGTCTTGAGGATTAGGGCAATTAGCCTCATGGATTAATGGAGCTTCTACTGCACAAAGTAGAAGCCCACCCCAGCAAAGTTGCACAACCTCGACATATCGGTTGCTTTAGCGTGGTCACCTGCTAGACAAGTCACATGACCTCAGAAGGTCCTCTTGAATGCCTAGAACTCTCAACGGATCCCAACCCCACAATAGCCCCAGCAGCGCCATGCTCAACAAGAGGCGAGGTGTTAGTCCCCTCACTAGATGAAGGGTCCACCATCCTATACAGAGAGGTAGCAAGGGAGCAAGCTTTGTCTCCGATTTTATATTCCGTCGGCAGAGGAGGGGCAACAGTTTTAAGAGAATCAACCAGAGAAGGATTACGAGCTGCTCCCTAATCAACTAACCCTAACGAATCCTCCAAGGTTCCCCAACTAGGCCAAGCGGATGATAAGAGCGGCTTGGATCTCAGACAATCAGTCTGAACCTCCCTGTCAACACTCAGCCATAGTCGCAGGGGTCATGACCCAACTGGTCATTCTCTCAGTGCCAAGATCGAGAGCCCGCCAAAAGTTATTTCAGGCTCTCGACCATCTAATATGTATTGATTAAAATACCCACAATTGTAACTACTTTACTAGGAGTACATAATGTAATCTTACAACCTTCATCCTTATAAATAAGAGCTCAATTCATGAATAAATGTAACATGATTTTATTGTTTATTACTGTGTTATCTCTGCTCTTTTTCTCACTTTTATGCTCTATTCCTTAGGTGTCTCCCTGACAAATTTGAATTCAACAATATCGAGGCTCTTAAATAATAATATTTACCTTCCAAAAAGTAAATTTAAGGATAAAGGTTTCCGTTAGGACTCTGTACAATCCAGCCATCCTACTCCCTCTGCCTCTGCCATCCTACGCAACGCCAACACCCCTTTTCCAACAACGAACAAAATCAGAGGCTCTCTCATCTGAGGTTCTCAATTTGGCTGATACCCTTCTAATTAGCCTTCTTCTCTCTCCTACTCAGCATTGCAATCACCTGAACGACCGTTTTGCCTTTTTCGTTTGACGGTGGTCGCTGCAAATCTGTAGGCTGACAGTGAAACTCCAGTCATTAGAATAATTTGTTATACAAGGAAAAGGTGCACCTGCGAGATTGAAGGAGCAGACTGTAAAAGTCTCACTTTGTAAGGGATGAGTAACAAAAACCTGAGGGGCGACCACAATAAAGCCATGAGAGGAGATGTGTGGAAGGAGCCGCTGAGAATAGAAGGAATTATAGAGAATGAATCAATGGAGGGAGATCAAAATGTGAGACTAATCTTGAATTGGAAGTTTGAATAGATTACATAATTAGTGGCTTCATAATAGGTATGAGTTGATTAGTGGAACAAATATAAAAGATATGATAATAGCATTAATTTTGAATTAAATATAGGAGATATGACAATATCATTAATTTTGAATTTGAATCTTAAATTCAAATTCAAATATGTGTAATCAATTCAAATAGGCGCGAATTGATGACACTTAATTCTCTTGCCTTTATTATGTACGTTTCCTGTTTTGTTTCGGTATGTCTTAGTTAGTATAAAATTGGGTGTTGTGTTGCATTGTAAAATACCTAGTCTTGTATCTTTTCACTCATTAAAAAATAATAAAAGAGAATTCCCAAAATTCCAATCTTATTTTCGATTTGTCCTTTAGCGATCCATTAAAATGGAACCAACAACCGAAGGACATGTCGTCACCGAGCAGAGCTATCATAGGAGATATGGCAGTAACGAAGATCGGAAAAGAAGGGAACGTAACGCTTTCTTATCCATTACTCACAAAGAGTAACTACTCGGTGTGGGCGTTGAAGATGCGTGTGAACCTACAAGCTCAAGGAGTGTGGGAAGTCGTGGAGCAAGACGAGGTCGAAGAGCGTAAGGATAGAATGGCTCTCGTCGCCATCTATCAAGCTCTACCGGAGGACGTTCTTCTAATGGTGGCAGAAAAGGATTCCGCCAAGCAAGCATGGGAGACACTGAAGACGATGCACGTCGGCGTGGAGCGAGTCAAGGAGGCGAAAGTGCAGACCTTGAGGACTCACTTCGAGGCAATCCGCATGAAGGACGGAGAGACGGTGGACGATTTCGCCATGAAATTGACGTCCATTGTGACAGTCTCCGTCGTCAAAAAGTTCCTTCGAGCCGTACCACAAAAATACATGCAGATCGTCACCGCGATCGAGCAATTCGGTGACCTCAAAAACATGACCGTCGAGGAGGTCGTCGGTCGTCTCAAAGTCCACGAAGAGAGGCTTCGCGGCTACGAAGACCAAGAGGAGGAGAAGCACCTCTTGCTCACGCATGCAGAATGGATGTCACGAATGAAGAAAAACGGAGAAACCGATTTTTCTTCCGGATCGTTGAGTAGTGGCGGCAACGGTGGAGATAACCGAGGTCGTGGCAAAGGGCAGGGTCGAGATGGAGAAAGCTCACCTCAACAAGAAGATATCAAACCTCGCAAAGACAAGAGCACAGTGAAGTGTTACAATTGTCAAAGGTACGGACACTACACGTCCGAATTTCGTAGCTAGAAGCCCGAAGAGGAAGCGAACCTTACTAGCCTCCATGAAGAGGAGCCAGCGTTGATGTTTGCCGAGGGAGTGGCGAATCCCTTGCCCGAAGACAAGGAGAAAAATCTCGAAGAGATCATGCAAGAATCGTCCAAGGAGGAACCAGATGGGGTGTTACTCAATGAAGAAAAAGCTCAATGAAGAAAAAGTCGTCAAGGCGAACCTCCTTGCAAGTGGCGAGGAGTATAATCACACCGACGTATGGTATCTTGATAATGGAGCAAGCAATAATATGACAGGCCATCGAGAGAAGTTCAATGAGCTCGACGAGAAGATCACCAGAAATGTGAAGTTCGGAGACGGCTCACTCATTGAGATCAAGGGCCGAGGAACCATCCTGTTTGTGTGCAAAAACGGAGATCAACGTCTAATGACCGAGGTATATTACATTCTGAAATTAAAAAGTAATATCATAAGTCTCGGTCAGATGATAGAAGAAGGCAACACGATCACCTTAGTCGGCTCATTCTTGAAGATGTTCGACCGAAATGACGCCCTGTTGATGAAGGTGGAAAAATCGCCAAATCGGTTGTACAAGGTTTCCCTTGAGACAAGCCAACCTGTTTCTCTATTAGCATCACTAGCAGATCTGGCTTGGTTATGGCATGCGAGACTTGGGTATGTAAACTTTTATGCGCTCAAAAAGTTGGGGGAGAAGGAGATGGTCATAGGGCTGCCGAAGATCACACTCCCCAACCAAGTGTGTAAGAGTTGCATGATTTCAAAGCAAACAAAACTGTCGTTTCCTGCCCAAGCCAACTTCCGAGCCGAGCACCCTCTACAACTTGTGCACGTGGATTTGTGTGGTCCGATCACCCCGACATCACTCGCCGGTAACAAGTATTTCTTTTTACTTGTTGATGATTATAGTCGAGCATCACTAGCAGATCCGGCTTGGTTATGGCATGCGAGACTTGGGCATGTAAACTTTTATGCGCTCAAAATGATGGGGGAGAAGGAGATGGCCATAGGGCTGCCTAAGATCACACACCCCAACCAAGTGTGTGAGAGTTGCATGATTTCAAAGCAAGCAAGACTGTCGTTTCTTGCCCAAGCCAACTTCCGAGCCGAGCATCCTCTACAACTTGTGCACGCAGATCTGTGTGGTCCGATCACCCCAACATCACTCGCCGGTAACAAGTATTTCTTTTTACTTGTTGATGATTATAGTCGTTGGATGTGGGTGTACATGCTCAAAGAAAAAGGAGTTCTTGAAACATTCAAGAAGTTCAAGAAGCTCGTGGAGAACACGTCGGAGTACAAGTTGAAAACTTTACGAACTGATCGAGGTGGCGAGTTCACTTCCCAGAAATTCACGGTGTTCTGCAAAGAAGAGGGAGTCGAGCGTCATCTCACGGCATCGTACACACCTCAACAAAATGGTGTGGTGGAGAGGAGAAATCGCACCGTGATGGGCACCGCGAGAAGCTTGCTTAAAAGCATGCAAGTCCCGGCAAACCTTTGGGGAGAGGCGGTACGACATGTAGTATATCTCTTGAACCGCTTGACAACAAAGGTGCTACGAGATTGTACCCCTTACCAAGCATGGTTCGGCAAGCGACCTCATTTGAAACAATTGAGAGTGTTTGGATGTACCGCACATGTGAAGGTTGCAGGACGCAGTGTTTGAAGAGGAGAAGAAGAGAGAATGGTGCAACGATGATGACGAGCTTATACAAAATTCTATGGAGTTCGGAATTTTACAAGATGACGGAGAAGTAGCGGACTCAACCTCGCCAATAACACCAATGGTCACGCCGAACTCTCAACGACAGCAAGAGAACTCAGAAAGACCCACAACGAAAGATGCTCCCAAAAAAATTTGGAAGCACCACTAGTAGAGATGGACCTTGATGAATTGTTGTTGCTCACTACCGATGAGCCAACAACATATCATGAGGCAGCAACCGAGGAGGTGTGGAATAAGGCCATGCAAAAAGAGCTCGGGTCCATCGAAAAGAACAAGGCATGGGAGCTCACCGACTTGCCACCCGCTCACAAGCTCATCGGCTTAAAATGGGTGTTTAAGTTGAAAAGAGACAGTGATGGCAATATCCTTAAGCACAAAGCAAGATTGGTGGCGGAAGGTTACGTGCAGAAGCAAGGAGTTGACTTCGAGGAATCCTTTGCACCGGTGGCGAGACTCGATACCGTCAGGTTAATTCTTGCCCTTGCAGCTCATCGTGGGTGGGAGATCCACCACTTGGACGTCAAGTCGGCGTTTCTCAATGGTGATATTGAAGAAGAAGTCTACGTCACCCAACCTGAAGGATTCATTGTCAAGAATGAAGAGCACAAGGTGTACAAGTTGTCCAAAGCTCTCTACGGACTACGCCAAGCACCAAGGGCGTGGAACACTTGTCTTAACAAGAGAATGATGAGTCTAGGCTTCGTGAAGTGTCCTCAAGAGCAGGCTATGTACACGAGGAATCACGGAACAGAAGTACTCATCGTCGGTGTGTACGTTGACGATTTGATTGTAACGGGATCCAGCATTGATGGTGTTGAGATATTCAAGAAGCAAATGATGAAGGAGTTCGAGATGAGTGATCTTGGGCTGCTCTCATACTACCTCGGTATCGAGGTAGACCAAAAGAAAGACCACATCACAGTGAAGCAATCGGCTTACGCAAAGAAGGTGTTGGAGCAGTTCGAAATGGTAGATTGCAACCCGAGCAAGTATCCAATGGAAGCAAAGTTGCAACTTGGAAAGGATGCGGAAGGAATCGTTGTGAATCCCACCAAGTATAGGCGTGTCATCGGGTGTCTCAGGTACCTGACCTATACTCGACCCGATATCTCATACGCAGTTGGCATGGTGAGTCGTTACATGGAGCAGCCTACCACTTTACACCAGCAGACGGTGAAGCATATTCTTCGTTACATAAAGGGAACAATGAGCTATGGGATTATGTACAAAAGAGGACAAGGAGCTGAAGAACTCATCGGTTTTACTGACAGTGGTCTAGCCGGTGATATAGACGACAGGAAAAGCACTGGAGGGATGATATTTTATCTCAACGAGAATCTAATCACTTGGCAATCTCAGAAGCAGCGAACCGTTGCTCTATCATCCTGTGAGGCAGAGTTCATGGCATCCACTGCGGCGTCATGCCAAGCATTGTGGCTGAGAAGGTTGTTGAGCGAGGTCCGAGCCAAAACCAGTAACTCTCTACGTCGACAACAAATCTGCAATAGCACTGATAAAGAACCCGGTGTTTCATGGACGCAGCAAGCACATCGACACTCGCTTCCACTTTATTCGCGAGTGTGTCGAGAATCAACAGATCGTCGTGGAGTTCGTAAGCACCGGAGAGCAACGTGCGGATATTCTTACCAAGGCTCTAGCAAGAGTTAAATCTGCGAAAATGCGAGCGCTACTTGGCGTAAACAACTTCGAACCAAATCAAGCTTACAGGGGAGATTGTGAGACTAATCTTGAATTGGAAATTTGAATTGATTACATAATTAGTGGCTTCATAATAGGTATGAGTTGATTAGTGGAACAAATATAGAAGATATGATAATAGCATTAATTTTGTATTAAAAATAGGAGATATGGCAATATCATTAATTTTGAATTTGAATCTTAAATTCAAATTCAAATATGTGTAATCAATTCAAATAGGCGCGAATTGATGACACTTAATTCTCTTGCCTTTATTATGTACGTTTCCTGTTTTGTTTCGGTATGTCTTAGTTAGTATAAAATTGGGTGTTGTGTTGCATTGTAAAATACCTAGTCTTGTATCTTTTCACTCATTCAAAAATAATAAAAGAGAATTCCCAAAAGTCCAATCTTATTTTCGATTTGTCCTTTAGCGTTCCATTAAATTGGAACCAACACAAAACAGGAAACTCGTCTTCCTCGCATGGCGTTGAAACTAGTAAGGGCTTTAGTGGAGGTTGCAGGGCTGAGCTTCGGCTATCATTCTGAAGGACGGTGATGAGCTCGACGTCAAAGGGATGCTTCTGCCGTCCATCACTTGTAAAAACCCCATATGTATGTATGTATGTATGTATCACTTAATCTATACTTTAAAAAGGTGCATTTCAATCTTTTAGAAGTTAAAATAGTAATATTTTGATTGTGATATGGCATTATAATTTTAAAATGTAAAGCATTGGTGTTAGAGATGTAAATGCATAGGAATTGGAAGGCCTGTCTGTAATTTGTTAGACCATTTGTCGGAATGGAAATGGACATTTTGAAGGGGACGCAGCTTGGTCGCGTGTACCACGTTGTGCTGTTAAAGAAGCTTTTAATTATAGCATTTGATGGATGAGAAAAATATGGTTCAATTCAATGTTAGAATAAATTTGTGGGGTCGAAAATCTAACAGTTTTGATGGGATTCAAAATGAACTTCAAGTAAATTGAAATGTAATTTATATATGATTCAAAATGAACTTCAGTTTTGATGGGATGTGGTTAGATTTCTATTTTAAGATTAAGAGCACGTTTGGGGCAGCTTATAAGTGCGTCGGTCTTTTCAAAAACGCAGTCTAATCATTTGGTTTGCATGTTTTTTAAAACGCTGCATGTCGCTTTTGGGTTTTTTACATTAAACGCAAGTAGCAGGTCGACCCACACAGTCGACCCGCGGGACGCATTTCAGGATAAGCTGATTTTTCTGAAAAGCACAAGCTGCCTCAAATAGATCCTAAAACCATGAATTTGATTGTAGCATAGATAATTAGATGACTTTACAACATTTTTGTGTAAATCTTAAGTTTAGGGAATTGATTTAAATAATGTGTGTGTGTGGGTGTGAATTTAACTTTATATTCTTGAGATCAAAAGTTTTCCACATTTTGAACCCGATGGTACTTTTTTGGGATCAATTTTGATCAATATTAGTTCAAATATAATTTAAAGAGATTCAAACCGCATAAATGCATGATTTACGTCGATATAACAATAAAGTTTAAATCATGTTCAAAATAGTCGAACTTTAATTA